CTTCTCCGGCACGAGTCGCGTTTTGATGTTTTGCTCCAGTCAGCCTGTAGAGAAAAGGACGGTGATCACAGTGGTATAAAAATTGTATCAAATGGAGACTGGGAAGGGCCTCATCGGAGGCAAAAACATATGGAAGTCGCAACGGCGCTGCTGGACTTCAGCAGTGTTTTCTGGCCGATTGGCCGGTAGTTTGGCTCCGATTTGGCCATAGGCGGATTCAGTATCGAAAAACGAGCCAAGGGGGGAAATTTATCTCGTTTGGCGGTCGAAAAATTTTCTGGTGCGGCAGCTGGTGGCGGCGGCCGGCTCCTCCGGCATCTGGTTCTTCTTCTCCGGGGAGGCACTGGCGGCTAGGGTTTGTGGTCGGGTGTGGGTGAGGTTATTTATACCATTTCCCTTTTAATCTCAACCGTCCATCAAGATTTAATATGGACCGTCCGATCACAATTTATTTGGGATTAAATCTGGGCCGTCCATCGCAATGTGATATGGGCCGTCCGTGCCTGATTGAATATGGGCCGTCCGTGCTCGCGTGAACGGATCTGGGCCATCCGATCGCGCGCACATGGATCGCCCACGTGGCCCCATCCCGCGTCAACGTTCCTTGCCACGTGGCGTGTCCTGGTTGGCCGGGACTGCTGACGTGGCTGCTGACGTGGCACAACTTTATTAAACCCCCGGTTTCTGATTTTCTTTTCAAAAATACCCTCAGAATTCAAATTTTCATCCCTTTTCCCCAAAATCAATTTCAATTAAATCCAAAAATAATTTTATCCTATTTTATCATTATCATTATTTTTATTTTCATTAAATTAAATTAAAACCTTATAAATTAATATATACAAAATTAAACTAAAATTCTAATATAAATTAAAATAAATTAAAAAATAATAATAATAATTTTTTGGGTGTTACAATTATAGTTTGAAAGAAATTAATGGAAAAAAGCTAAAATATGATATTTGAATGAAAAGAAATATAAATGTATTTAAGGAAGATGAAATAAAAAAAAATAAACAAGAATGAAACGGATTATAAGATTAAAGGGGAAATTTTATAAACTGAGAAAATTAAGAGAAAATACCGGTAAATTTTTTTTAAAAAAAAAAACAGTAATGTTATATTTAAGAAAGAATAGAAAGAAAAGGAAATATATGGTCGAATAGAAAATCGATAAACAACTAAAGAAATTATAAAAAGATCTCTTTATTCAAAGGAAAAAGAGGAAAAAAAGAATAAGAACAAAAACATATGTGATTAAAATAAACCGGAATCAAGTAAATACATGTATTAAAAATGAAAGTGTGGGAGAGACTGAAACTCATTCACAATTTTGAAAAATAGAAAAAAAAAATTTGTATTTACATCAAACGATGTTAGGGTTTGAAACAGAGGAAGAGCAATCTTGATATTTAATTTTTGTAAGTTACTTTCATGATTAGGAATTTTACCTGAAATATTTGTGCTTATTTGTCAAGTATTTAATTTCTTTACATAATTATGTTTGATAATATCTAGTACCAAGAGCATAGTGCTTATTAAGAAAGAAATGTAGAAAGAACTGGTCCTCTAATACCGTAAAACATGTTATTCTTAACTCCTATTCATTCTCATACTCTTTACAAATAATACAGACAAATGATGTCAATTCACATGGTTGGACGTGGTTGATTACTTTTGATAAAGCTCTTAGAATTACACTTTCAAATTATTTATTAGCTTAACAAAATATTGATTCTTCCTTTATCTTATAAAAGATGTTGAACGTTACAAAGTTGATAGTTAGTTTTTTAGGAAGAATGCAATATCATTATAAATCATCAATAAAAATTTTCCAACTTATATTCTTATTTAATCACAATATATATATATATATAGTATAAGAAGAATGATAGCTTTTTGATGCCTTGCAATCTCCTATCATATATTTGACTGTATCTCTTATATATATCAGTCATATATTCTATATTAAATGTACTTATATGTAATTAGCTTACATTCTTGCGCAGCTAAAATAATGTCTTATTCTCCATCAAGCACCCAACTTGTTCAATAGAGAATGAAATTGGTCATAACCTAAAACTTTAATAAAATTATTTAGTAGTTGAAGAGTCGTAAGTCATGCAACGTTATACTAAGACTATAAACATTCTTAAAGAAAATGATAACTAGTTTAATGCACTTTTATGTTTATGATGCGTAGGCTTCATAACAACAATGTAGCGTAGCCTTGTATAATTGTAGAGAGCTTAACATCTCATGTAAGGTATACGGTTGGTTAGTAGGGTGGAAAGATGATGGTTAGAGTTGTCAGTTTCATGCATGGATATCAAGAATGACCAACTTGTTTAATAAAAAATTAAATTTATCACAACCCAAATCTTGGTAAAGACCAAGATGAGAGAGAGGTAGGAACATGAGAAATAGTATGATTCTTGAATAAAATGATAATTAATTTCATGTGTTTTATATGTTCATAAACGATGAGATTATCAAAAGAATCTTTGTAATATATAAACTATCTCAATTATGGTGTGGGAATGGGAGATGATAGTAGGGTAAAGGGGTAAAAGAATGAAGAGATATCTTTATTGCTATAGCCATTTTATTGTCATCCTTAATTAATAAATTGCATGTTTAATTTGGTAATTATATGAAAATTTTATATGAAACTGAGCACTAGTCGATCCAGTAACTAAAAAAAAATTCTTGAAGTAGAAACGATACCTTCATATATTTCTTGGTTAATTACTAATCGACATGTATTCTTCGCAAATTAATAATTATATGAAAATTATATATAGAACTAAGTATTGGTCGAATCAGTAATTTACCAAAAAACACTCTTGAAGAATAAATGATACCTTCGTACATTTCTTGGTTAATTACTATCGACCTGTACTTTTTACCATTTAGCTATATTTTGTTTGAATATAAAATGTAATCTTAAGAGTATTTATAGTGCTTGTAAAGATCCTTCATAACTGATAATATATCAAACTGTATTGAGATTTGAAATATAATCTACTAATAAAAGGTAATCTAATTTATATTTTTTATTTTTAGAATTCAAATATTCTCAAATGAACCATATCTATCATGATTAGTAAAATTTTTTATATCATAATATAATGGGCTATAATATTTAATTTTTTTCCGTCTTGTAAGTTGACCTAATATTACACCGATTAAGCATATATTTTATTTTGTCTTATAAGTAAAACAGTATTTTACAATTTTACGACTCTTATGATCATTGAACCTCAAGAAAGTAATTGCCATATATTTGTTCAAAATTTGTGTGGAATTGAATTTTCAATATTGGATTTCTTGCAATATACTTAATTTCTTTCCAAACTGCCTGCATTATTTCAATATTGACAATTTCAGGTCATATATTATTTCAGTGTTTTATTATAATTTTGGTAAAATGTTGGTAGAAATGATTGTTTGTGAATTTGGGTATCAATAAATACATGTAAATATAATGGTTTGAATAAAAACAAACTCAATGGGCGAAAATTATAATTTGAAGGTAACAGCTTATAACGTAACTGAAAATCTAGAATTTATTTTTTAGTTGACGGACAGTTGATCGGCTTGTAATGTTTGATCAAGTGCAATTAAGAATTTAATTTATTAATCTGTTGATATGATTGTGATAACCAAAAATAATTAAAAATTTTTTAATTAAAATAGTTTTAATAATCAAAATTTTGATATAACCTTTTTTTTTAATTAAAAACAAAAACAAAAACAAACACAAACAAAGTAAGCACCTCAATAGAGGGGCTAGAAAGTGACTGCTCAAATCACATAAATTAAGTCATTCATGTGGATTTTATAATCTTAGTAGGATTCAGAAATTCTACCAATTACTAGGTGAAAATAATTTTGTCGTTTTTAATAAATATTAATATTATTTAGACTCTAAAATTAAATTTAATTATTTATAAACCAAATCCTCTAAAACTTATTATTTTTTAAAAAATAATATCAACTAATTATTATAATTTTGAAAATATATAGAAAATAAACTATTTAATTTCTGTCATTTTCTTAAACAATTACAATTATATAAAAAATTATTAATTGAAGAAATTTTATAAATTCAAAAACTTAATTAAAAAATTGAATTTAATTCATTTCTTGAAAATTTTAAATATTATTATTTATTTTAAATTAGATTATACAAATTTTAATTCATTAATTTATGTCGAATTTAGATCATCATCATCGACTGGTTGATTAATATTGGGGCACATGGGAACTTGTGCAGCTGCCTAGTATGGAATAAAAATTTCCCCTTTCCTATTTTAAGGAAAACAAACATGACCAGCAGCAGTCAGCCGTTGGTCCGCTTTCCTATTTTCTCTTTTTATTATTTATTTTGTTTTGTATTATATGAAGATTTTTTCTTTATTTTAATTTTTTATTAATTTCCTTTTTATTTTCTTACGACTGCGTAAGGATCAGTAACCAGACGAGACGCCTTGAATCTCTCTCGAAGGAGCCAGTGAAGGCGAAGCTTCTTACAGTGACTTGTATAGTAGTGTATTATTATATATGGCAAATTATCATGTGTAATAACATGTATATGCATGTATATATATAGACTCCTTAGCTGTGTTCTGCAGAAGTGTATATTATTATATATGGCAAATTATTTTGTGTAATGAAGTCATATCATATATATATATGTATGACTCCTTAGCTGTTTTCTGCAGACGTTACCTGTTTGACTTCGTTCGGGTAGAGAGAAGCTCTCAGATTCGATGGCGGCAGTTGGAGGATCAGCTTCACTTATCGGTTTCCTGTCTGCCTTTCGGCCGGACTTAACGACTTCATCTCAAGCAAGAGCTGGACAGAACCCGATTCAGTCGAGATGGACTCGCCGGTCGACGGTGACCTCGTGCGTTCAGGTGTCGACGACGAGTAAGGCGGAGGCAAGGTTCGATGAGAACGGGATGTTCAGGAGGAAGGAGAAGGGAAACGAAGAGGCTGCGAATTTGTACGCGACTGTGTTGACGGAGTCGGAGGAGAAGATGAACCGTGGAGAGAGCTTGAAGGATTATTTTGAGAAGTCAATGGATTTGATTAGATCGGACGGTGGGGGTGGGCCTCGCTGGTTCTCTCCATTGGAGTGTGGGGCACGCGCTCCAGATTCTCCTGTCCTCCTCTTTTTGCCCGGTTGGTTATTGATTTGTTTTATGTGCAATTATTAGTTCTTGTTTAAATTTAAAAAGGGAAATCAATGGTTAAAAGAATTTTTTGAACAAACTATTTCTTCAAAAGCTAGCTGAAATGTACTTTTTGGAGCGTAGGAAATGCAATAATGAGCTTTTTGATTAAAAAAAAAACTCTAATCAACTAGTATAATGATATTTAACCTTCAAGTCCCCTTCAACAAAAATGAATATGAAAATACTTGCAAATTGAAAATGGAGGAACCTTGTCTTTATTACAATCCAAAAGTAATGTAACAGAGTGTTCTTTTCTGTGGCAAACAAAAACAACTAATTGGGTCTCATTAGATCTATTTGAATTTCCCTTTCCAGTTTATTGGTAACAGATGAAATTTTGCAGGGATTGATGGAACGGGACTTGGACTTATAAGGCATCATAAAAAACTAGGGAAGTACGTGTTAATCTTTAAAAGGCTTATACTCTCACTAATCTATCCAGTTTTGAGAAGTTTGTATTTCTGTGGAATTTGTAATGATTTTTTCCTTCGGTTATTTGAGTATCTGGTATCTGGCAACTTGTGAGGATTTTTTTATTTTTTTTTGCGAATTAATGTTCTATCATGGGTTAAGCTTTTTCTGACTTGTTATTGGTTTTGACTGAAGGATTTTTGACATATGGTGCTTGCATATTCCGGTTATGGATCGTTCCCCATATACAGGTGCCTTCTTGTTGATTATTGTGCAGACGAAACTATATACCTGTAAATTGAAATTAATGTCTTCTTCTCATTGTTAATGATTCAGAGCTAGTGAAACTTGTAGAGCGAAGGGTAAGATCAGAGAATTATCACTCTCCAAACAGATCCATATATCTTGTTGGAGAATCTCTTGGCGGGTGCATTGCACTAGATGTTGCTGCACGAAACCCTGATATTGATCTTGTACTAATTTTGGCAAACCCAGGTGAGAAATGAGTTTCCTTTTCTTGATTTTACTATTTGTATTACGATCTGCATGCCATGGGAAGCATTAGCCAATACTTCTCATTTTGTGATACATACGTTGCACGATCATAAAGCATTTGAAATAAGGGAATGATGTAGGAGGTACCATGTATTTGGTGAATGGAAGTGCCACTTGTCAAGCAGAGGTCTTATTAAGATGAAAGAAAAACCTTGCCTTCCCATACTCGTAATAAATGAATTATATTGCTAATTCCAGATGCTCTTTCTGCAGCTACATCTTTTGGAAAGTCAACATTTAAACATCTAAAACCTTTGTTGGAAATCATGCCGGAGCAACTCCCAACCAGCCTCCCATATATGCTAAGCTTAATAACAGGTCTGATTTCTTATATCTTCAGAGTTTGAAGCTTTTAGTAACAAAAAGTTAGGAACTTGCTTCCACTTATAGTAGTGTATCAGGCTGCATATAAACTCCACTGTCATTCTTCTCAAAATATGAGAAGGATTAGTATTTAAGTACCTACAGGTTAAAATATGAACACAAACTGTGTGTACCTTGAGAAGTTTGGAATTCTTTCTAGAATTAGCTAAAGAGGCGGTGGATCTTAAAATTGCCAGCTTTTTAGTCATCAATTATATCCCTTATTATCAAAAGAAAATGTCATTTTCGGTTTCCTTTTGTGAACTTTCTGCAGTTGAATGATCATCAAAGTGCTTGATTATTTGAGTTTGAAGATGAAAAGGGATTACTGAAATAAATTGGGCACTTGGATCCCATATATTCTAAAATTGTTGATCATATTCACGGGTTCAGAGGCTTTTGTTTCTTAATTATACCCAAAATCATCAATGGTAGGCGTGTTTAAGATTTCAAATAAAGATGCTCTTACAGAGTCACCATATGATCTCTCAAGCAGGAAATAAAAGAAAATACTATAGGAAACTAGACTCTAAATATAATGGGATAATGAAAGTCTTAACCGTGATAAAGTTCCTACTGTTGCATAATTTTTTAATTAATCAAGTTTCTGATGTTTCTCTAGTAAGAAATGAAAATACTTGAGTAATTATTTTGCAATCTTCTGCAATATCAGCTTGGATTTTAGTTTCTCTATGACTTACAATTCTGCATAACTTCTGCTTTGAATAATTTGGCACTTTCTTCTGAGCGACAGAGTATCATTATTCTTTCATCTTCCACACTTAAATGGCAATGTAAGTGAATTTAGTGCAAGTGTTTGGGCTGTCAACTTTATTAGTGGCAGTGTCAGGATTTGGTTTGGAGCGGATGTAATAGTCTTAATGAAATAGAATATAGTTGTGGGGGCTTTGGCTTCACAGTGCATTAGATCTTACTTACGTTTTTCTTTGTTTTATCTAGAATACAAAATATTATATATTTTGATCCTATTATTCGTTCTCCTATGTTTGCATCTTACAACTTTTCCTTGCTTCTTTATTTTATTTATAAATAAAATTCAAAACATTTCTTTTGTTATTACAAAAGAAAAATAAAGGAAAAGTACACTATGATATTCAAATAATTTACGTACATAAAATATTGTATAAACAAACATTTAGAAAGGTTTATAATTAAGTGGAGGGGGGATGGAATTGCCACCCTCTCCCTTTGCCACTGAACATGTACTCCTATATCTTCCCAGTACAACACTGCTATGTTAATGCTAAATGACATGCATGGGGGGGATGACTAGTTATTGTTGCTCTCGATTAGCTCTCTATAAATGGGTTCTGGTATTCTCTTTTCATTGTTACTAATTTCCTCAAATAATGTGGAAATGCAGCTTTTGATAGCCACTTAGTAATTCCTCCTGATATCAGCAATTGTATGGATTACATTTAGGTGATCCTTTGAGGATAGTGATGGATAATATGGTGAAAGGACTTTCTGTTCGACAAACAGTTGGAGATCTGTCACAAAACCTTGTTGGAATTTCATCTTACCTCTTTGTAAGTCTTCAAATGTAGAATGTGGGTGAATAACTATTTATGGATGACAATTTACTCAAAATCAAGTCATATAGTCAAAAATCTTCAAGTTTACTGAGCTAGCATATACAGATAGTAGCCACTTATTAGTAGTTACTATTTCTTGTCAAAGTACTTCATAATCATATCGTATTTGACTTGCCGGTAAAGAAAGAATTTATAAGTTACATCACAGGTTCTGGATGGTATATTACCTAGAGAAACACTTCTCTGGAAGCTGCAGATGCTTGAATATGCTTCTTTATCTGCAAATTCGCATCTCCATGCTATAAAAGCTCAAACGCTGATACTTTCCAGGTGCTTCAACATCTGTTTTTTGATGTGATTATTAATCTTACTGATAGCACATTTAGTTTTGGCTGTTACTTTTGCACCTTGATGATTGCTTCTGCAGTAGTAAACACTAGAATCCTGGTGAATATAATTCACATCACAGTAAGTGTTCCTCTACTAGTTGAAATTATAGCAATGGACTCTTTGGTCATTCTGCTTGCATCAATAAAACAAGAGAGAGGGTACTTCTGATCGATATCTATCTGTCTCAAATCACTGATCCAGAACAAATAAATTAATAATCAAGTGATATTATCTTCCCTGATCATGCAGTTCTCGTTCTATAGAGTTGTTGATGGAATTAATTTAATATATTTATGAGGTTTTCCTCATTATCCTTCTTTTCCTCTTCTTCTCTATCGCTAAATTGAAGTTTAGGGCTTTAACAGAAACACTATGTATAAACCGTTCATTAGTGTTACTGTTATCACTAATTAATAAAAACTTTTTCTTTAAGCTCCTTAATCACTCTGTGAAAACCCTGTATTTCATATGTTATGTAGTCCTGCTACTCCATTTATTCCTTATTTTTTTATTAGAATGATCAGTTGAATTTAGTGTTTGTATCTCTCTAGTGGAAAGGATCAGTGGCTGCCAAGTCAGGAAGAAGGGGACAGACTTTCTCGTGTATTGCCTAGATGTGAGATTAGGAGGTTCAATGAAAATGGGCATTTTCTCTTCTTGGTAGGATAATATCTCTCTCCTATCCCAATCTCAGGGGACTTCCTTAAATTTAAATATCCATTCCATGTATTTTCATGTGCATGCACCGATGTGTGATGCTGAATGCATGTGTGCTTGCTGCCTTACCTCCAACTGGTTCAGTGAACAAATAGTTCTTTTTCCTCATTTAATAATTCATTAAATTAAACAACATAGCATGGCGAAAAGGATCTCAAGAAAGAAAAGCAGATAAATAAAATGATAGAGTTAAATATACAGTCTTGTTAAACTTTTGTTATGAGTTCATCTGATGGAGGAAGAAATTTCAGCTGTACGTAGATATATTATTTGCTCAAAATTTCAGCTGTATTGTTGCTCTTGTATCTTAAGAATGTAATAAGATGGTACTTTTCTCTTCTATGGCAGGAGGATGACTTTGATTTGTTAACCATCATCAAGGCTGCTAGCTTTTATCGCCGTGGGAAGTACCATGATTATGTTTCAGATTACATGCCTCCAACCCCTTCTGAATTCAAAAAAATATATGATTCAAACAGGTAACCATCACGCTGGACAATAAACAGATAATATGAATACATATATTGTTGGTAGAGTGTACAACTCTGTGGGGGAAAGATCATCAGAAATTTGTTTTGGCTCCCATTTGGGCAAAGTTTTATAAGTTCTGTGCCGATAAGTAGAATCACGTTGTACTGAAGTGTTATTGTCTCACATTTGTCATGCTATAGATGGCTGTTTGTTGCTACTAGCCCGGTGATGCTCTCAACTTCGGAGGATGGTGAGGTGGTAAGGGGCCTTGCTGGGATTCCTTCAGAAGGACCAGTGTTATATGTTGGCTATCACATGTTACTTGGACTTGAGTTGGTTCCACTGGTTTCCCAAATTTTGATCGAGAGGAATATCCTTCTGCGAGGCATAGCACATCAACTGATGTTTAAACATACGAAACCTGGAGTTTTACCTGATTTACAATCATATGACAGCTTCAGGTTAATGGGTGCATCTCCCGTGTCTCCTACCACCCTCTACAAATTATTATCATCAAAGTCTCATGTACTTCTCTATCCTGGAGGTGCACGGGAAGCCTTACACAGAAAGGTAACTTCTGTGGAGAATCTGATTCAGATACGCTCACTTATCAAAGATTTGCATTCATTTTTATTTCGGATAAATTTTCGATCGTATAACATTTTATTTGAAGTTCACGCAATCTGTTCTTGACATTTTATAATGCATGACAAAAACATCCGATCTTCTCAAAATATTGGCACAATTTTGTAAGACATGATTCTATGTACTTTTCAGGGTGAAGAATACAAACTGTTCTGGCCAGAGCAATCTGAGTTTGTTAGGATGGCAGCTAGATTTGGAGCTAAAATTGTACCATTTGGTGTTGTCGGAGAAGATGATTTTGGTGAAGTAAGCAAAACATCCTTTTTATATTTCCCTCCCCTCCCCAGAGATATTTTTTACTTCAGAGCACAGTGTACAAGTATGAATGCAAATGGACAAACATAATCCATAGGTATATATTAGACATATATGCAACATCTATTATAGGAGGGTGGGTGGGAGAACTTTTAACTCTCAAATCCAGAATACAAGAAATTTTACTTTGTCATTAGACTCTGTCTGGCAACTTTTTTCATAATTACATTATTTCATTGCTCATTAGTTTTCAACAGCGTAGATTCTCCTGTTTTGCAGGTAGTTTTTGATTATGACGATCAAATAAAGATTCCCTTCTTGAAGGCTATGATAGAGGAAACAACAAAGGCGGCATCGCACTTGAGGTATTCTTTGAAAGTTTTTATCGAGATCTAATGGATATTCCGCCACATATTTGTCTTAGTAATTTTTGTGCCTATCTATATAGGAAAAATCAAGATTTCTCTACAATACATTGCCATATCCCCTTTATACTTCAAAGTTTATATTTGCCATGATATTCTGATGATAGGACTAATGAAAGGGGTGAAGTAAGAAATCAAGACTTGCACCTTCCGTGGATTCTACCAAAATTTCCAGGCCGGCTTTATTATTATTTTGGGAAAACAATTGAAACAGCAGGTATGATATGGTAATTCAATGGGGCTTATCTTTGACTTAATTTGAAGTGATAACATAGCTGCTATATAAAATAAAATATGTGTTTGCTAACCTGTTTGTTTCCTACTAGTCCTTTCGCTTCCTGCAATTTTATTAGGAGGGAGTCAAATTGAAATTAAGCTATATGTAAACTTGGATCGGAATCGAATAAGTGTTCTAATTTTTGTGTTAGGTCATTACTAGGTATTACTAATTGCATTTATGATTCCAAAGTTCGGTTGAATAGCTCTTTACATACTGAACTGTGCTACAATTAGCTCGAAAGTATGGATTAAGCATAGATCTTCCATATTTTATATTAAAGTGGAAGAAGTGAGAATAAAATACTACACTTGATTCTAACGAGAGATTAGATTATTGACTATATTCTATATTAAAGTTGCTGTAAATGGAGTAACTGCTGTTTAATGTGTGAAGGGAGAAAGCATGAATTGACAGACAGGGAAAAAGCTCAAGAACTGTATTTACAAGTGAAGTCGGAGGTTGAAAATTGTATGGCTTATTTGAAGGAGAAAAGAAGAAGTGATCCGTATAGGAACATATTGCCTCGGTTATTGTATCAGACGACACATGGACTTGCGTCGCAAGTTCCCACCTTCGAGGTTTAATATTTCTCCATGTTCAAATACTTTTATCTCACTCGCAAGAATATCCGGATACAGAAACAGATACAGGGATGTGAAAGACGAAAGGATCATCAGTTGGGTAGTTGGTTTACTTAGCTCTACAATACTCAGCTTTGATTGATTGACGCTGCAGATTTTCTAGCATGCAGCATTGATAGAGGACACCATGGTTGATTCTCTGTGAATTATAAGGTATTTATTTTTTATTTAAAAAAAGTTTTCATTTTTTGGAGCAAATAAAGGCAGGGGGAAACAATCAAATCCCATTTGTATAAGATATTTGATGATTTATAGTGCTTCCTTTATTCATAAATAAGAAATTTAAGTGGCTAAACACTGAAATCAAATCAACAATGTATTACTCTAAATTGTGATGGTGAATATTTTAATCATAAATTTTATAAGTTGATTAATTATACATTGGATATAATGGCTAATAATTATCTCCAATATAAGATGTGTGTGTGTGTATATGTATATTATATAAATACGCCCAAAAAAGCAGGATGTTGGCATGAAAAAATTCGGGTTTATATGAAATGAACTGCCAGTGATCAGCCTCGTTCTTTTCTGTTAAAACGAAGAAAAAGTTCATTCTTTTTGTCTTATTATAGTACCAACAAAAACCTTGCCAAAATCTACCTTCCAGCTGGCAGACAATATATATACACAAATATATATATATAATTACTTTGTAAGCATAAACTAATAAATCAAGAAAAAAAACTTAAACCAAAAGAGAAAAAGGCTTCCAAAATTTCTTACAATAAAAAAAGTGGCAAATGCCTCTGAACGTATATTATTAATAACATTAATTTTTTGCTCTATGATCTTAAATATATATATTGTATGTGTTGTGTGTGTGTGTGTGTGTGTGTATCAAAGTTTTTACAGGAGCCATAATAATTTGTTTAATATTATTAATTAATAAGAGAGGTTATTAAATAAGTCTAGAATTAACTAAGTATTATATATTTGATGAACATATATATATATATGTATCAAAAATATAGATATATGTGTATATATTATAGCATATAGACGTCAGCAGTACTAACAATAAAAGAAGGGAGCGAAAGAGATCAGAGCTGATACAACGAGCTGCATGCATCAACAAAGTCCCTCACCTAATATGTAGGCAGTAGGCTGTACATACCTACTATCTACAAACTATAACTTCATCAACATGATCAGATCCATTCATATATAAACTTCCAACACCATCTACATATATATATATATAGATATTGAAGCTTTCAACACCATCTAATTATTATCGTGCATGCTACTCATCTCAATCTCCCATAACAAGCTTATATATACATATCTGGAAACTCAGACGAAAAAAAAAAAAAAAAGAGGACCCAGAACAAGAATAAACTGGAAAATAGAGATCTGGAAAATAAAGATCATTAACATGTACTCATTTCCATAGCTAAAAAGCTCAAGAGATTGCATATTATATTTATATATATATATATATATATGTTATCTGATATATATTAGAGTAAACAGCTCTAAAACTTAGAAACCCAAACAAGAAAACATTGTAAAACCCTAAAAACTGACTTTCAAGCTCTCATCAACCAGACCCAAATGGTCTCTCTTCTTTTTCTACTTCTACTCCCAAATAGTCATGACCTATATTCCCTTAGAACTCTGAAACAAAAACAAAAACAGAAGATGATAAAAGGAAATTAGAAGGACCAAAAACTCTTGATCATAAACGGAGAGTGAGGTCAACATCAAGACATTCATCTGCAGAAGTAGCAACAAAATCAGATGAAGATAGAGCTTGATGATCATGATCAGGACGAGCAATGGGCCCCACCACTCCATGATGATGATGAGCATGATGATCATCACCAACAAAACCAAATGGAACCGACCCAGATAGTACTGGAGCTGTGAAGTGCTGCTGATGATGGTGATGATGATGATGATGATGACCGTGACCACCAGCAGCTACCTGATTTGGCTCGAGCCATGTTTCAAGAAAAGGTCCACCCTGGTGCTGCCGCTGCAACTCAAGGCTCACATGGGACGTCGTCGTTTCCACCTCTAACCCTGCCGGTTGCAGAGGATGAGCCGGACGATAATGGTGAGCAAATTGGTTCATGTGGTCAGACAGTGTTGTGGAGCTCGGAGGAATGTTAATGTTCCGGCGAGCGGCGGCTCGCTCCCGCTTATGAGCGTTTTGGTGGCCGCCGAGAGCTTGAGATGTATAAAACTTCCGGGGACAGTAGAGACACTGAAAGAGCCGGTGATGAGTAGACGACGTCGTCGACGACGGCGGACCCATTTGGGATTGTCTTTTTCCTGCTGTGGGGTTGGAAGAGGTGGTGGGTTTGGAACCGGAGTGGTTATGTGCGAGAAAGTTGTACATGGAAGGATCCGCCATTGACGAAGAAAACTAAAGCTTTTTTGTTGTTTGGAGTAGTCTGCAACGGAATGGGGGAGGAGAAGGAAGAAGCTGAGGAGGTGGAGCAGAGCAGTGAGGGTTTATATGAGGGTTTAAGGTTGTTTTGTTTGTACGTGGAGTAGAGAGTTGCAGGAATATGATTGGTTGAGTGTGAAAAGACTAAAATACCCTCCTCCTTTCCGTTAAGCTAAATGGATATGTTTACATGTGTGTACGGACAGATATGTTTCTTTAAATAAAGAAAAAAAAATCCTTCAATTCTCTTTTTATTTCTAAATATTAATTATTTTCTCGTCATTTATTTATAATTATATATATATATATATTTAATTTTCACTTAATATAAAGAAAATTATAAAAATTGCTTTTTAGAAACACAAAAAAAAAAAAAAAAAAAAAAAAAAAATCTTAGTATCGTTTAAGTGAAAATTAATCCAGACATATTTTGAACATTTGAGTAAAAAAAAATATTTGTATAGAGTATAGAATCATCTCTATAAGGGGAAGCGGCCGTGCGAGTGGAGGTGGATGAAAGAATAAGCAAAAATAACATAAACATTGATGAGAATTAATAGAAGAAAAAAGCAAATACATGTCTTGTGTCTGCACGAGGAGTGAATGAACTTATTAACCCTTTGTGACACAAATTAAGGGTTTGTTACTTTCACATTATTGTACGCACTTGTTTTGTATATATTGGTGTATGTATGTATATGTTCTTTATTTGCTATGGATAAAGAGAAAAAGTGCGAGTTTAAGAGATGATGATGATCAAGTAGCTAGTAGTTGAGTGAAAGAGTAATAAGAGAAGAGAGAGATGTGACTTATGAGTAAAGAGTGAAGATTCCTCTAGCTAAGTTAAATATATATATATATACATAAACCAGCTTTAGAAGATACTTTTCCTTAAATGGGTTTACTTATGATGTGCTTTTTTATTTAATCACCTTTTAATTACCTCTAATCATTCCCACTAATAGAAAACAAGTATATATATATATATATATATATATATACACACACATATATAAAAAGAAAGAGAAGACAAGTAATGGAGAAGGTAAATAAACTAGAGATTTATATGTGATGTCATGAGTGGAAACAGAGACCGAAAGTAGTAATTAATTAAATTAAATTAAATAGTAATTAATTAATATTAATCAAAGGTGACGGATTGATTAGCTTCTCACTGCTAGTACGTAAAAGATTGGATTTATTAGCGTACTTTTGATTAGCGGACTAATGAGATCAATCAAGAATTTCAAATTCAAACCCCCCAAAAATTCTTAATTTACAAAAGTAGTCCAAATTATTTGGGTAATTTTTTAAAACCCATAAATTAATTTATTTCTCTTAATTCATTTAATTTATCGATAGAGTAATTTGTCAAACTTTTTTTTTTTTAATTTTTTTATAAATGGGCATGATAAAAATCAAGGTATAATGATTAATTCAGCAATTAATAAACATATATATGTAAATAATATATATTATTTTTAAATTTAAATATTTCTTTTATTTTAATAATTAATTAGTTTTTTTTTTTTGTATCAAGAAAAGACAAGGCTTTTAATACTTGGAAATGATATTAAAAAGAAAAGGTACTGGCGTATGGTAAGTTGGCTTGGTACTGGGATTTCTGGGTATGGCCCGGAATTGGAAGAATAATATTCAACAAACATTATATTATAAGTGTGTGTATATATATTAATTAATAATAATAAAAAAAGGGAAATAAATTAATTAAATAAATAAATAAATAAAAATTTTGATGAAGTGCTGCCGGATGGACGACGACAACAATAACAACTATGTACTGAAAGAGTGAAGGCCATCATCTTTTCATCTGTCCCCCTCCCCCCCGCGCTGTTAGTTACTTTGCCTTTCTTCTTATTATTCAATTCCAAATAATATTTAATTAAATAAATAGTTCAAAATTCTTTTTTTTTTAATTATTTTTAAAGAAATAAATTATTTTTATCTTTTTCCACACTTACAGGAAAGAGATGAGGGTATAGTGGTAAAAAAGGGAATATATATATATATATATATATATATGAGCTAAGTAATTAATTAATTAAAAAAAAAAAAAAAAGTGAGAAGAGATGGAGAGGAGGAGGACACGCGCGCCGGTTGTTAACCCTCCCTCATCTCATGCGATTCCAATCGTCTTAGCGATTGACACGTAGCCCCTCTGATGCGTCATGCCTATACATTTTTATTTTCTTAAAAAAATTATTATCTTAGATTTTTTTTATTTAATTACGAATAAATAATAACTTTTTTTAAAAAAAAAATTCATTTATTTTTTTAAAACTCAAAATCTGTTTGTTGATTTTAATTATTGCGTCATATTTATAATTATTAACTGAATTTATTTTTAATAAAATTCAACTTATTTCGACATATAAATATACTCCCCAAAGAAATAAATGCAATTTGTTATGATGCTGGTGTGGTAAAATCTTCCATCCTCGTGTTACTCCTCTTCCTTTTTTCCAACTCTTTATCTCCCTCTATCCCTTTCCAACCTCTCATTTTCCTCACCTACAACACATACATTCTTATGTATATATACACAGACTTATGTATATATATAGAGAGAGAGTAATAAAAACCATATTCTTATATCATCAAATACAAAACTTCTAATTACTTTTTCCAATTATTTTTACCAAATATCAAACAATATTTAAATAAAAACATTGTTAGTCATTGTTTTAAAACCCTTTTTAAGATTCACAGCACAAATTACAACCTACCTAATCGACCACATAGTCCCAGTTGGAAACAGTTCCCAAACAAAAAGAAACAGTTCCAAAGCAAAAAGAAGAGCTCTTTCACTAGGGATTTTACTTGGAATGGTGTTTCTTTCCTCACCATTTGATAAAGAAAATGTACACTATCAGCTTCCATTGAAGGAAACGCCAAAAGCCCCCATGTCAAAACAATGTTTTAACCCATCAAATTATTTTTTCCAGAATCAAGTGGAAGTCTTTACAGACTGATTTGGGTTAGAGCCATTTCAAGATGAAATGACTGAAACATAAAAACATGTGATTGACTATGTACAGATTCAACAACAAAAGAGAAAGCAAAACAAAGCTTTCTTTCTTCTCAGTTGCCGACATCGAAATATCTTGGATCTTCCGGGTAATGGTATTCTACCTTCAACTGCCATGACAAAGGAAAAAAAAAAAAAGCTGTTATGGTCAAAACATCATAGAGGAGTGATTGTTTCAGAGTTCAAAAAGTTGGGCAAAGCCATGTGTTCATAGTGTGATGCTACTGATATAAACTGAAAAATGTACTGGAAATAGAATTGCATACCTTGCCCTCATCAGAATCTGAATGGCGTTGAGGAAATACAACTTTTAAGTCATTGTATAAGTAAAACCTCCGCTCCCCATCAACATTTAAGCCTGTTTTCTGGGTTGCAGACAGTGGATCAGACAAGAATTTCTGAATGACCTAGAAGTTTTTT